TGAAGGCGCTGGTGAAGGCGGACCCGGACGTGACCCTGGCCAGCCAGGAGGCCGTGTTCGTGCTGGCGCGGGCCACGGTGAGGGGCGGCCCCGGGGGTCCTGGGCCCGGAACGCTGCGGGGATGCTGCTCGGTCTTGCCCAGGAGGTTTTTCCTTCTCTCACGGACCCGCGGGGCGGTTGCGGCCGGCCCGAGCTGGGGAAGGGTCTGGAGCTCCGGGAGCAGCTGAGGGAAGGGGCTCAGCCTGGAGAAAAGGAGGCTCAGGGGGCCCTTGTGGCTCTGCACAGCTCCTGACAGGAGGGGACAGCCGGGGGGGGTCGGTCGCTTCCCCCAAGCAAGAAGGCACAGGACAGCAAGAAGTGGCCTCAGGCTGCACCAGGGGAGGTTCAGGATATTGGGAAAATTCCTTCATGGGGAGAGTTGTCAAGCTTTGGCACAGGCTCCCCGGGGCAGTCACCATCCCTGGAACTGTTCAAAAAAATGTAGCGCTTGGGGACATGGGGTGGTGGTGAATGTGGAGGTGGTGCTGGGCTGGTGGTTGGACACAATGATCTTAGAGGTATTTCTCCACCTGAAGGGTTTCATGATTCACCTCCTGAGCACAGGACACCTTTCCCCCTTCAGAAGGTGCCCTGGGAGCCCTTGGTGTGGAGTGGGTCTCCCAGAGAATGTGGGTTTCGAGGAACCCACATTCCCAGCTTTCTCCCTCACTGCTTGTCCTGTGCATCACTGTCCAGCCATTTCCTTTGGTGTTTTCAGACCCGTTTACTAGGAAGGGGTAATGTTAGAATGAAGATTCTGATCTAATCCTGAAGCCTTGTAGGACCTTTCTTTTGTCAGGATATTCTCTCTCTCGTCTCCCACGTGAACCTGTCCTGTTTTGCCTTGCAGGAGCTGTTTGTTGAAACCATAGCCAAAGATGCTTATGTGTATGCCCAGCAAGGAAAAAGGAAAACCCTGCAAAGAAAAGACCTGGGTATGGGAGCATGTTCTGTGCTGTTCTTAGCAAAGGGTTGCTCCGACGGGGATTTTTCCACCTGTCTGGAGGTACTGCAGTAATTACGGATTTATTCTTTCTTTCCCTGAAGATGGGAGAGAAAAACTTCTGCTGAAGACTACACTAATAATTCACACACCATCTTCAAAACAAATAATCTCTTTGAAATTGGTCACTGTGCTCTGATGTAATTTCAAATGCTGCAGTTTGAAACAGATGCAAATATGGAGTTGGTTTATCTATTTTAATTTTTCACAATTTGCTTTTCAGATAATGCCATTGAAGCTATTGATGAATTTGCTTTTTTGGAAGGTGAGTTTCTACTTGATTTCAGTATTTTGTGTAATAACCTACTTAGGAGAGAAAGAACTGAATCATTTGCAAAGCTCTCTGTTTCCACATCCTCAGTAATTCCTAGTGTGGCTTGCAGTGCCCCTGTGAGCACTGGGATGGCTCAGCTGGACCCTGAGGCACGTGCAGTTGTTTGGTTTTTTTGCTAGATTTGGTTTTACTTGTGTGTGATTCACTTAAACTTTAAAGTTACTGCATTTTCTTTTGCCAGTTTGTAAACAAGATTTATTTGTTCACAGAGCTGCACTTCTGATTCTTGAGACTATAATGTGTTTTTTCATTTTCAGGTACTTTGGACTGAGCTGGACATAGACAGAGCTCTCTGGGGAGACAGCAGAGGTGGTGTGAGATGGAAAACAGGATGCTGAGAGTTCAAAAAGAATTCCTAGAATTGAGACACTGAAATTGAGACATGGCAGCCATGATATTTTGTATAAAGTTGAAGTTGTTGTAAGTTCTTTATTTAAAATGCATATTTTTTCATAACTATTTTGTATGTCCCTTCCCATGTGGCTGCAGTGCAGCTCTCTGCTCTGGCCAGGTTACACAGCAGTTACTCCCAGCTGCAGTCCCAGCCTCTCTCTGCAGCACCACAGAGCTGTGAACAGAGAGTGGCTTGGCTCAGGTGCCCAGGCACAAGGAATTTTTTTTATGGAAATGTGGATTTTGTTAATATGTTTGTCTCTTAACACAATTAAATTGTTGTTGTTGTTGTTGTTGTTGAGCAGCTGTGCTGATTCCTGTTCTGGGCTGGGGTTCCTGTAGCCTGGTGGGAAATGGTGTGGTTTTGATAGGATGCTTTCTCTAGCATTTTGGTTTTGCTAATTGTTTTCTCAAGGCATCCATTCCAGAGAAACCCAGCTGTCCTGCAGGAGCTGGGGATGAGCTCCAGGGGAGCTCAGCTTGGCCCAAGGGCTGTGCAGCTGCTCCAAGGGTCTGTGACTGTTGCACTTGTAAGTAATTGTAGGGAAAAACCCCCAACCCAATCCCCTGAACTCATTTTGAATGCCAGGGGGTGTCCGTGCTGCCATCACTGCTCTCTTGTGTGCTCTCACTCCTGAATCTGGCAAAACGTTTTCCCTGGGACCTGGATCTGTTCCCTGCCCAGAGGAGCTGGTGCAGAGACCCTGAGCTCTTGGTGAGGAGCTGAGTCCATCCTGTGTTCAGGAACTGCCACCAGCTGTGGCTTAGAGCCCCTGGCAGCACACGGGCACCAGTCTGGTGACTGGAGCTTTTCCACTTTAACTAGTGCTTTGCTACCTGGAGTTAACAGCAGAACTGTGTGGCTGTGGGGGATGTGCTGCCATCACTGCTGTGACATGTCCTTCTGTGTTCCCAATGTTGTCCAAGTGCCAGCTCTGACTCCACTTGGTGTGGGTTGTCCCCAGATAGAGCCATTGAATGGGATGAAGGAGGATGAAGGATGCATGTTTTTTTCAAATTAGGGTATTTGGGAGTGGTTCCCAGTCACTACAAAGTTAAATTAGTTTGGAAGTGGTTTAACAAGAAGGACCCCCCAAGGGAGCTTCCCAGGCTGTCAGCAAATCCAGTGGCTCTCAAGAAACACTTAGAAGTTTGCTAAGAGTCTGATCCAAGCCTGATCATGCTGGGAGAGATGCTCATTTCCCAGGGCCAAGGTGTTTGTTCAGATCGCAGTCAGGGGACATTTGCCAGGGTATGTGAGCCTCTTTGGCTCAAAGCTGCTCACCTTGTCACCTGCCAGGGAGGGCAGGTATAAGTGTCAGAGGTACTGGAGACTTTCCTGTGCCTCCCAGGGTGCAGCATTGCAGGAGCCACGAGCTGTGGTCTTCCTCGCAGGGCTCTTGCAGGCTCCCATCTTTGCCAGTAAGTTCCTTTTCCCTTCTTGGCCCTGGCACTGCTTTGGCCTCTGGCTGGGAGAGCAGGGGCTGTGGTGTGGGGCTGTGGTGGGCTCTGCTCACAGATGATGCTGCTGTGGTTGGTGTGTGCTTTCCACAGTGAGCAGCACAGAGGGCGTCTGCACTGGGCAGGCAGCGTGGGGTTTGTGTCAAAGAGAAGCTGCTGTGCAGGAATCTGGGGGGTTTAGTGCCCATGAGCTCCTTTGTGCTGTGGGAGGGGATGCCTTTCACTCAGGTCTGCAGTAAGCTAGAAACAGAAGAGAGCAGATAAACAGTGAGAGAAACAGTGCCAGAGTGTTTTCCTGGAGTAACTAAACAGGTTGTTCAGCCCACCCGGCCGGGTGTGTCATGTACATGTGTAACAAAATCTCTTCTTTGTGCTGGAGCCGTTTAGTTCAGGATAGGAAGCAGCTGGAGCTGTGCTGGGCACCCAGTGCCTCATCCCAGCTCAGGCAGAAAAGGTGGGGAATTGTAACTGGGGTAATGCTGGGCTCGGTGGTTTTTGACCGCAGGAGCTGTCAGCAGAGTGGAGGAGCATGGAAATCTGTTTGCAGAAAGGGGTTGCTGCAGGAGGCAGAGCCATTTCCTCCATGTTGGGCACGGTGAGTTCACAGAATCATGGAGTTGTTTGGATTGGAAGGGACCTTAAAGCTCATCTTCTTCCACGCCTGTCCCAGGCAGGGATTCCTTCCACTATCCCAGGTTGCTCCAAGCCCTGTCCAGCCTGGCCTTGAACACTGCCAGGGATGAGACAGCCACAGCTCCTCTGAGTTCCCCTTCACCCTCCAGAAACCAAGATTCTTGATACTTCCACACTCACATCCTGCCCATCCCTTGGCTGTTTTTTTATGCTGAAGTTTTCCAAGTGACTTTTCCCTTGGGGGATTAAGGACAGAAATGTGCTGGGGACCTGTTGCCCACATAATCCAACACTTAAACATCCTTTTTAGCACAGGAATTGATGAATAGCTTGACCCCTGGGTCTGTTCCTTTGCACAAAGGAGCTCAGTTCCCTGGACCTGAGCCCCACCATGGTTGATGCTGTGTTTGAATTCCCTGTTTATTGCTGCATAAGTTCAGGGCAACTGCAGACTTTTGCTTCCCAGGATTGATATTGGAAGTGCTATCAGCAGGACAACAAGCTGCCCTGTAAAAGTAGAGAAAGCAGATGAAGTAGAAAGTAGCTCCATTTGTTCATCAGAAAAAAGTCTGTGGCCTTCAGGAGCAGCCTGTGGGCGCTGTTCCCCTTTGCAGTGGCTGTAAGGACACAACAGCTTCACACTCTGAGGTTTCTTACGATTTTTCAGTGCATGAGAGCAGCACTTGTACAAATTTAACCTTTAATGTTTGCCAAATACCAGCTTCTTGTGTACAATAGGAATGATAAAATTATCATAACCAAATTAAGAGCTATTACAAGCAGTGACAGCTTGTCAGCTCCAGAGACACCAACTTTAGAAGAATAAATAATGATGAAAATATAATCACAGAATCACAGAATATGCTGAGTTGGAAGGGACCCACAAAGATCATCAAGTCCAACTCCCTGCCCTGCACAGAGCCATCCCCAAGAGTCACATCATGTGCCCCAGGGCATTGTGCAAGTGCTCCTGGAGCTCTGTCAGGTTTGGTGCTGTGACCTTTCCCTGTTGCAGTGCCTGACCACCATCTGGGGGAAGAACCTTTTTCTAATACCCAGCCTCAACCTCTCCGACGGGACTTCAGCCCATTCCCTCGGATCCTGTCACTGTCACCACAGAGGAGGGATCAGTGTCTGTCCCTCCTCTTCCCCTCACAAGGAAGGAGTAACTGCAGTGAGGTCTCTTCAGTCTCCTGCAGGCTGTACAGACCAAGTGCCCTCAGCTGCTCCTCGAATGGCTTCCCCTCAAGCCCTTCACCATCTTTGTTGCTCTCCTTTGGGCACTCTCCAACAGCTTTGGATCCTTCTGATCTCGTGGTGCCCAAAGTGCCCCCAGCCCTGGAGGTGAGGCTGCCCCAGTGCAGAGCAGAGTGGGACAGTCCCTCCCTGGCCTGGTGCCCCCCAGGAAAGGGTGGCCCTTTGGGCTGCCAGGACACAGTGGTGACTCAGATCCAACTTGCCACTGACCAGGACCCCCAGGGCCCTTCCCACGGCGCTGCTCTCCAGCCTCACTCCCAGTCTGTCCCTGCATCCAGGGCTGCCCCATCCCAGTTGCAGGGTCCGGCATTTTCCCTTGTTGAACTTCATAGGTTGGTGATGATCTAGCCCTCTGATTTCCTGAGGTCTCTGCGGTGTGTCCCTCCTTTGAGGGAGTCAGCAGCCCCTCCCAGTTTTTTATTGCCTGTGAACATGCTCAGTGTCCCTTCCAGCCTGCATCCAAGACATTTGTGAAGCTGTTGAAGAGCACAGGGCCGAGGATGGAGCCCTGCAGAACCGCACTGGTGACTAGTGCCAGCCTGGTGTCACCCCAGTCACTGTCACCCTTCATGCCTGACCCATGAGCCAGTTGCTCACCCATCCCATGATGTGTTTATCCAGCTCTGGGATGGACAGTTTGTCCAGAAGGGTCCTGGGAGAGACAGTATCAAAAAGTTCATTGAAATTAAAAAAGATTACATCAACTGGCTTTCCTGGGTCAACCAGATGGGTCAACTTGTCACAAAAGACTCTCCAGACTCTCCCTGGGGGGTCACAATGAACGTGGGGAAATGCTCTGACCCAACCTACGGTGCAGGGAGAGCTCCTCTTCCTCCCTTGCTCCCTCCCTCCCTCCCTCCCTCTGGGATTATGGGAACAAGCCCTGTTGTGTGACCAGCACCAAAGCCCAAGCTCAGGGCACCCAGTCTGAGCAGAGCCTCTGCCTTTGGGACTACTGGGATTGTGTTTTAGGGTTGAGTTTCCTGTTGCTGGGCCTTTACCACACAGCTCTGCAAGCACAGTGATAATTCTGTGCTGTGTGCATGGGTGAGAATGGGAATACAGCCACCTCATATACAGGGAAATGTCTCTAGCCAGAGAGCATGGAATCAGAGCAACCCAGGCTGGGAGGGACCTCGGGGGTCTCTGCTCCAACCCTCCCAGTCAAAGCAAGGAAACCAACCTGATGATAAAAGCTCTGCTGGAAACAGAGCACTGGAAAATTCAATTTCCTTACTGACACTCTAAAATGCCCTTTTAGTACCAGTGAACTACACTGCTGGTTCTAAAATCGCTTGGAAATGGAAACTCCAAACTAAATATTCCAGATGGGTCAAAACCTCCCACTGGGACACAGCTGAACTCGTTCATTGTGAACTGGTGAGCTGTCTCGTGAGTTCACTCATAAAATAACCCAAGACACGTCAGCGGAGATGAACTGACTTTATCAGAATTGAAAGCGGTGTTGAAATGATTTACCACAACTGTTTGACAAATTCCATTGTCCTGGAATTTGCTGATGTAATTTTTTTGGCATCTCTAAAAGCCGTTCAAACCTCCCGGCAGCTGCTGCGGCACCGCCGCTAGAGAGGGACAGAGACCGCGGCAGTGCTGGAGGGTGGCATCTCTAAAAGCCAGTCCGTTCAAACCTCCCGGCAGTGGCTGCGGCGGGGCCGTGGCACCGCCACTAGAGAGGGACAGAGACCGCGGCAGTGCTGGAGGGAGCCCAGCGGGCAGCGCGGGGCCCGGGGTTCATTCCGCGGTTGCGGGGCCCGAGGGCGCTGCCCGAGGCCGGGTCCCTCCCGGGGCAGCGCCCGCAGAGCCGCACAGCTGCGGCGGCAGCGCTCATTCCGCGGGATTCATTCCGCGGTTGCGGGGCCCGAGGGCGCTGCCCGAGGCCGGGTCCCTCCCGGGGCAGCGCCCGCAGAGCCGCACAGCTGCGGCGGCAGCTGCTTATCCAGCTGCTGGTGGAAAAGGCGATTAGGCGGCGTGAAGTGCTTTCTTCCAGAGCTGGGAGAATCAGCATTTACTTCCCAGACGTGTTAGTGGAAGGTGTTGGACAATTCTGTTGCCTCGGGGAGGGGAATTAATGGGGTGGGGAGGGAGAATCTCAGTCACAGTAATAGCCCAGGGCTGGCAAATGTGGACTCGCCTCTGCCCTAGGGCAGGTCTCTGCACTTTCCTTCTGCATCTTCCCGCATAAAGTCGGGCTGATACTTTCAGTGTCATGGTAAAAATTTGGAATCATCAGAGGAATGGGGCGGGGGGAGGGAGGGGGACGGGGCTGGAAGAACCTGTTAAAATATCACCCAGAATCACTGATGTCCAGAAATCCGTTGTCATTTTGTGTCCCACTCTTAAGGCATCCCAGAAATACTTGCTTCCAGAAATCACTTTTCCTTCCCCTGGAAACAGCTCCATCCTGGAACAAAGAAATCTCCTCCAGCAGCTGCTGAAGTAGTTGGGAGGGGGCAGGAAACTCTCAAAACCTGTTCAAAGCCAGCAGCCAAAGAAACCCCGAAGGATGTACACCCAAGGGCTGGGGCAGGGCAGGACAAGGTCCTAGACAGACCCCAAACCCACTTGGCCATCAGCTCAGCCATCCTTCTCCCCATCCTCTAGTTCATGCCATGCAGATTTTTAACCCTAATTTACTTGAAGGGAGAAAAGCCAGGAGATTTAGCACAGAAACAATGTAGTTTCTTTCTGCACAGAACATCAGCTCAGGCTGAGCCACGCAGGACAGTCTGTGCCTCTGCCCTTCCAAGGAGATGTCATTGCAGCTGGAGGACCCTTGTCCCTTCCCTCCAGTTGCTGAGCCCCTGCCTGGGCCACCAGGACTCCATGGTGGCATGTCCTGGTGTGGTGGTGACACAGCAGCAGGGATGTGGCTGTTGGTGTGTCTGCAACCAAACTGGGTATGTCAAATCCAGACAGAACTGCTTTGTGTCCTGGGAATTTTTCATTGAGTTAAAGCTGGAATAGGGAAAGAAAAAGCAAAGGAGGATTTTGTTCTGCACCCCCAGAGCTGGGGTCATTGCCCACCTCCCCCTTCCAACCCTCTGGTACCATCCTACCTTCATCCCACACCCCAGAACTTGGGCATCCCCTTCCCTTCCCTTCCCTTCCCTTCCCTTCCCTTCCCTTCCCTTCCCTTCCCTTCCCCACCCCAGTGGCAGATGCCTCAGCTGGTGCTCCTGTGGGGAGCCCATTCAGAGCAAACCTGTGGAGGTGCCTGGGCAATGTATCTCCAGGAGAGCCCCTAACACTGGCTCCAGCATCTGAGAAGCCCATTCAGGGCACAGTCCCTGGCAAATCCAGGGGAAAATGCTGAATGAGTTAATGCTAAATCACATTCCCCCATCCCTGGTGAGAGAGTGTGGCTCTGAGAAGAGTGCTGCCATCAATATTTTGTGTTCAAATACAGTTTTTCTCAGAGATAACGTGCTCACTCCCCAGAACTGGGGCTTTCACAGGGTCAGGGACAGCAGCCACAACTTGCACCCACAACAACCTCCCTCTCCTCATGGTCTGAAACTGGCATGGAGGAACAAAACCTACCACTAAGGCCTTGAGCTGGTGAAGGAATGAGCCCCAAACTCCCAGCTGGGACACTGACACAGAGAGCAGCCCTGGGGCACCCAGTGGGTGCTGGATGCCTAAAGCTGGGTGGTCTGTGCTGCTGCTGCAGGAAACATGGGTGCAGCTCCAGGTTGATTTTCCGTCTTGTTTCCTTGCAGATGGACTTTTCTGTGTGCCCACAAAATTCAGCACTGGTCAAAAACCCACATGGTGGGGTGGTGGTTCAGACCCTGGAGAACTGCGAAATGAAGGGAAAATGCTATTGTGTCTCCCAAGTGGAATATTATGAAATTGTCCAGAGCTCTGCAGGACACAGGGAGGAACAGCTCAAGGTGCATTTCCAGGGGTTTGGCTCCTCTGGTGGGCTCAGCTGGGCCCTCATATGGGGTTTGAGCTGCTAGGTAGATGCTCTAACGTTGGCAGCTTTACACTAGCATCAAACTAGAGTGGTAAAAACTTCACATTTGTATTCTCTTGTGCTATAAAATGTATTTTGCTGCCACTAATTCGTGCATGTATCAGGGCCATAAAGGAACAAATGACTTTTTCTTTGGAGTGAGGATTCATTAAAAAAAATAATTAAGGAACAATGACATTTATTTAAAAATATTTAGTTGTTAGGTCTTCAGTTTAACAGAGACCCTACTGTCTACTTTGTGCACAGGCTACAAAGTTTCTGACTAAAAAACCACTGTTATGCCCCCAAAATACTTCTTGCCAGCCGTGCCTTGCTGCTGCCCTTCTTTGGGGATGAATTCAGAGCCTAAGGTTGGAAGGTCCTGAGGTGTCCCTGCTGAGGTGCTGCAGGGGATTTTTGTGCCTTTGTTTTGCAAATCTTCGCAGGAAATGGATGTGGGAAGGTGCTTGGGCAGCTGCTCCTCGGGGGATCCCTGCTTGCTTAGGTAAGCGCAGCTGCCGGGCTCCATCCGCTCTCCTCCCGCACATCCGCACCCCGGGCCAGGTGGGAGCTGCCCTGCTCCTCTCCCCCACCGCATCTGCGGCTCTGCCGTGGGGGAACACGGAGCAGGGTTTGGGGAGCACCCCCAGCTCACCCACCGCGCTGTGCTGGGGGGAGCCGGACCTGCCGCCATGGGGCTGAATCGGGCAGGTGGCTACAGAGCCTGTGGTGTCCCAGGAGAGCAGACACAGATCCTGACAGTGGCTTTTGCAGCCCGGAATGTGACACTCATGTCCCTCAACTGCTGGCAAAGCTGCGAGGGCAGGAGAGCAGGGGGTTGCTGGGGCAGGGTGGGTCCAGGCAGTTGTTTCAGGCTGAAGGGGCAGGACTATGTGTTGATTGTAGACCCCAGGCTGGACAGGGCTGGGAGCAGCCTGGGACAGTTGGAGGTGTCCCTGCCCGTGGCATGGGTTGGGATGAGATGGGATGAGATGGGCTTTAAGGTCCCTTCCAACACAAACCATCCTGGGATTCTTTGCATGCACAGGGAAGCAAATCAAACCATGCAAGAAGAAAGACCTGCTCTGCTCAGCCAGGGGAAGGTGACAGCTCATGAGTTACTCCAGGAGTAAGGAATAGATGCTGTAGGGAAAAAGCTGCCTCCCTTCTCCCCCATCCTGCTCCAGAGCATCTGCCCTTTTCCTGAGTGTGAACAGAAGGTCCAGGTCGTGGGGGGCCGGTGGGGTACTGTGGATGTACTGGGGCTGTACTGGGGATGTACTGGGGCTGTACTGGGGCTGTACTGGGGATATACTGGGGATGTATTGGGGCTGTACTGGGGCTGTATTGGGGCTGTACTGGGCCTGTACTGGGGCTGTACTGGTTTTTCTCTAACTGCAGGGAGTTACAAGACAGAGAGGAATGCCTGGTTTGGGCACAAGCCGCCCCGAGACACTGTGCCCTCAGGGCTCTGACAGGCACAGGTTCCGGAGCCGCCGGGACCAAGTCTGCACCGTCGCTGCCGTCCGGGAGTGCCGGGGATAGCGAGGCTGGAAGCTGCGGGTGGGGCTCCTGGAGACCCCGCCAGACTGTCTGTAGGATATGTAAATGAGAGAAGGCTATTTTTTTGAATAAAAGCTAATTTAACCAGCGGGTATAAATGAACCTCTACAAAATGTTTTGCAGCTTGTAAAATAAACATCGTAGGCAATTTGCAGGTCCTTGGGGCTCCGCTGTGCAGCTCCACGGCCCCTCCCGTGCATCCAGCATCCCGGGAGGATGCAGCGTCTGGCACGGGCTGCGGGTGCACGAGCTGGCTGCGCCCGGTTCAAACTGTGGAGCCGGTGACAGGAGAGGGAACCAGGAGCTGAGCATGCCGGGGCAGAGCTGTCTCCTCTGCAGGCACCCCCAGATATCCTGTGGGACGTGCTGCTGGTGAATTGGGAAGAAGAGGGAGAGGATCTTGGGGATACCGATAGTTTCCCCATGGCATTCACTCCAGCCGGTCGGTGCCGCCGTGCCTGTTCTGCATAATTAACAGCCCTCTGGGTTGGAATAAACTGTGGGCACAGCTGGACATTAGCCTTCACCTTGTCTCCCATCAGGTGGTCCTAGCAGGGCTTCAGCCAGTTGATGAATTAGTTAATTAATGCTAATTTTTTCCCCGTTCATTCCCATGGCACCTGTACAGTGTGTCATGTCCACCTGCACCAGCTTGGTTTCTCTGTGTGACTAGGGAATAAGACCTAAAGAATTGGCTTTTATCCCACTACCCGGGTGTTTCATAAAGTTCAAGCATTCAGGAATTAGCAGCAAATGCCTTTTAATTCCCAGCCTTTTTCTTAAAAAAAAAAAAAAAAAAAAAAAAAAAAAAAAAAAAAAAGGAAAAAAAGCTGGCTTAGGGTGACCGCACGGGCCGGGGCCGCAGCACCGCCGGGTCCCCTGCTGGAACCTGCTCTGCCCCGTGGCCTCGGCTCTCCTCGGCCTTGGCAGGACACGCAGCCTGGGCTGTCCCCACCCTGCACACTGACAGGGACATGGTGTGGGGACACCAGTGTGACACTGAACCCCGCCACGACCCTCGCTCTCAGCACGAGCCGCTGCGGCAGGACCGGCCTGGGCAGGGGATGCTCATCTTGATGGGCCGCATTCCTCCACACAAAGGTCCTCCGATTTGTCCCATTAGTGCCATCATTAAAATCCAGTTAGTCTCCTACGGAGAGCAAATGCAGCCCAGCCGAGGCCCTGGCAAGGGGCTGGTGGCCCCAGACCCCCGTTTCCCCTGCCAGCCCTAGGGGTGCCTGGTGAGCCGTCCTGCCTCCCGCTTGTGTACTGGGGCTAATTGATGCAGGGGGCCCGGTAGCCGGGCTTCTCACCTTGTTAGCATGGCAATTAACTCTCTTTACTCTCCTGATTGCTCCTGTGCATATTTCCCTCCAGTCCAGCTTTCGAGTGAGTTATAAATGCAGCACCAGGGAGGCCGGGGCAGTTGTGCAGGGACAGCGAGCACAGAGCCATGCTGCGGACTGTCCTGCTGCTGCTCGCCCTGGCCAAGACGGCATGTCCGAGCCCAGCCAGCGTGGAGAGCCGGCGGGCTGAGGCGCTGAAAAAACTCCTGGAAGTCTTTGGCATGGAAGACCCGCCGGCACCCCCAACTCAATTCAAGCAGCCGCCCCAGTACATGGTGGATCTATTCAACACTGTCGCCAATGCGGATGGTGTCACCAAGAACCCTGACATCCTGGAGGGCAACACCGTCCGCAGCTTTCTGGACAAAAGTAAGGGCGGGGGTCGTCCCCGTGGTGCTGGGGTGCGGCTGTGGGGAGGGGCTGAACGCGGCCGGTGGCGGTGCCGCCCCTGGCTTTGCTCTCCTCAGCACATCCTTCTCTCCAGCTCACAGCGAGGAGATGCGGTTCCTGTTCGTCCTCTCTAGCGTGGCCAAGAACGAGAAGATCCTGACGGCAGAGCTGCACCTCTTCCGCCTCTGGCCGAGGGTCACAGATGGGCCCAAAAGGCACCACTTCTGCCAGGTTAGGAGAGGGATGGGGATGGGGACGGGGACGGGGATGGGGATGGGATTGTCCCCCGGCCTGTGCCCAGGTGTGCCATTGGCACACTGCGGTCATTTGCCTGCAGTGGGAACACAGCCTGGCTCTAGGATCACATGAACAAATGTTTCCCAGAGAATCATGATTTAGCTGTGGCAGGTTCTTAAATATCCTTCTGGCTTGTGCAAACATCAGCAAAGGTTGTTACAAATCCATGCTGACAACTCCCCATCTCCCCCCACACCTCTGTCCAAGATCAACCCCTCGGGCAGAATACGCTGGGGTGACCATTTTTTGCTTTCCCCAGGTCAGTGTGTACCAGGTGCTGGAGAAAGACAAGCCAGACGCCCCTGGAGGGAAGAAGCTGCTGGCAGCACGGCTTGTCTCTCTGCAGACCTCGGGCTGGGAGGTCTTTGCCATCACGCCAGCTGTGAGTCACTTTTCCTCTGTTTTCACCTTTCAGGCTCCAGTGTAGTTTCCTGTCTGCAGTCTCTGCAGTGACATGGGGGGAATACATCCTCTGGGAGGGGGAGGAAAAAGTCCTGCCAAGAGCCCTGGGGCTGCTTCATCCTTCCCCGACCTTGTCTCACTGCTCTGCAGGGTGTGCTGGTGCTGGCTCCTGCCACAGTGTCCCCTGTGCTGCAACCCCGGAGCAACCCCTTCCCATGGCACACAGAGTGTGGCCTCAAGGGGTCCCGGTTCATGATGTCCTGCTGCTGGTCTGGGACCTGCCTGTGGGGACACTGGCGCAGTGCCTGTCCTGGTCCGTGGTGACACTGCTTTGGTTCCCCAGGTTCGCGACTGGATCGAAGATGAAAGCAGCAACCAGGGTTTGCTGGTGACAGTCCAGAGTCTGGGGGGGAGCCCACTCGACCCCCCACCACTGCAGTTTGCATCTGGCCAGGGCCACCATGAGAGCAAGAAGCCCATGTTGGTGCTTTTCACGGACGATGGGCGCCGTGGAGCGTCGCTGCCCACAGCCGGCTTCCCAGGTGGGTCCCACACGCCTGGCGCGACTCCCTCGCTGCCAACATCCCTTTCTCAGGAGGTGCTCCCCACATGTGGGCTCCTCAAATCCAAATCTCCTTCCCTGGCTGGTGGGAGAGGCTCTCTCCTTTCTGGTGCAGTCTGCTCAGGGGTGTTGCGGGTGTGCAGATGTGAAACTGGATTTGAGTTGATTTGAGTTTGGCAGTGAGACTGAGGCTGTCACCTCCTGGTGGCTCTGTCTGGGCTAGTGACAGGCTGTGACCAGAGGGTTGCAGACAAAACCTGTGGGGAGGGGTGGCTGGGGGAGCTGCAGTATCTTCTCCCTCCACCCGGGCTCACACAATTGTGGCCAATGACATCGGGTGCTCCTTTCTGACAGATTTAAAGCCTCAAGGTCCTGATCTCCCGGCGCCCAAGCTGGGCAGGTCACGCAGTACACGCTCGCTGAACCGGTTCCAGCCCTGCCGGAGGCATTCCTTGTCCGTGGACTTCGAGGAGATTGGCTGGTCTGGCTGGATCATCTCACCGCCGGGGTACAACGCCTTCCACTGCAAAGGCTCCTGCCCCTTCCCTCTGGGCGAGAACATGCGGCCGACGAACCATGCCACAGTGCAGTCCATCATCAACGCCCTGAAGCTGAGCGAGGGTGTCAGCACCCCCTGCTGTGTGCCCGACAAGCTCCACTCCATCAACCTCCTCTACTTCGATGATGACGAGAACGTGGTCCTCAAGCAGTACGATGACATGGTGGCTGGGAGCTGCGGCTGCCACTGAGGCAGGGGGAGCAGGGGCTGGAAACACCGCTGCAGTGGGACTGCACCCACTCCCTCCAGAGCATGGGTGGGGTCTCTGTCCCTCAAATCCTCTGAAAGAGACTGGGACGAGCAAAGCAAGGGTGTGCTGGGTCTGCTTAGGTTGGTGTCACCCCCTGACAGGGCCAGCCAAGGAAGGCTCAGGGCCAAGCCCTGATTAAACCAAGCCAAAGGAGCCCGTGTGAACCAGCAGCTCCAGGGCAGCAGCTCCATTTTGGGGCGCCCTGTGTGGGGGCATGGGTGTCTCTGCCCATGCAGAGGCTCCTGCAGGCTGCACTATATGTATATAGCAAGAGCACTAATATATGACAGAAACCATCTGTACAATGTCCTGTAAATGTCTGTACATTCCTGCATTGCTGTGACTTGTAAAATTAATTCAGAGGAACTATTTAAAAGTGCCATCCTCCAAAGGCTGCCTGTGGACTCTGAACTGCTGCCAGGAACAGGGCGAGCAGACATCTCCCAGGCACAGGGAAGGGGGTGCACATGGAGGGATGAAGATGCAGCTGCAGCGCAGTCTCCAGGGTCAAGGGGATGGGGTGGGTGCGCCCCATTCCTTGAAAGCTGAACAATCTCAGGACCCATCAGCCTGGAACTGGGGATGCAGGGAGGTGAGCAGGCGATGGGGGTGCTTGGGGGAATGTGGTGACAGGGTCTGGGGAGGGATGGGGGTGTCCATAGAGACATCTGGAGATGATGCTGCTGGGGCAGGTGAGTGGTGGCTGTTGTGGTTTAATCCCAGATTAGACTAAGCACCATGCAGCCACTGGCCTCTCCCCTGACCCTGGTGGGATGGGGAGGAGAATCAGAAAAGGTTAAATGTGTGAGTGGAGATATGGAAAGTTCAATAATGGAAATAAAATAAAATATAGTAATATTTAATAACATTTTTGATTAAAAGGGAGACGTTAAAAGGAGGCAGTCATAACCCCAAGACATACAAATGATGCCCAATACCCAGTTGCTCAGCAGCCACTGATCTGTGCCCAGCCTGTCTCCTAGTAGCAACTGGCTGCTGAGAAATCAGTGTGTGATCAAGAATATTCTCATCCTGAATCTAAAATACGGCATTATACCAGCCACTGGGAAGAAAATGAACTCTATTGCAGCTGAAACCAGGAGAGTGGGGCAGGAGAGCTCTGGGGGAAGATGGTAAGAGGACACTGCTGTGTCTAGAGAGGATGTTCCTCATGGAAGAGAAAAGGGGTGGAAACCAGAGCTGCCCAAGGCTGTGGGGTCAGGTGTACAGAGGGTGGGTGTCAGTGAGGGTTACTGGGGAGTGGGTATAGGTGTTGCTGGTCAGGGCAGGGGTCCCCTCACACCTGGTGGCACAGCTCCCTTGTCCCCTGCCATCCAGCTCTCAGTAGGAGTGTGGCTGTCCCTGCCAGAGCACTCAGCTCCTCCAAGTCTCTTTCCAAGTTTCCAACATCAGCAGCTTGGCCACAATCCCAGGCTGACACCAGGAGTCCCCTGGCACCACCGCATCTCCAGCTCACAAGTGAGTGAATTGCCTGGCTGGCACCAGTTTCTTCCCCCTGCTCACCTGGAAGCAGCACCAGCAGCTCTTGGCCCTTCTCCATGCCAACCCTTTCCACAGCCCAAGGTCCCTCTCTCCATCTTACTCAAGGGAAGGGTATATCCCTTCAGGAGGCTCTTTCACTGGACATGGCCTCACACTGGAGGGCAAATCCTTGCCCTGTGCCCCCCAGACATGTTCCCCACTGCCTCCCATGATGTGAACACAGGCCAGAGCCAACAGGTGTGTCCTGATCACATGCATGTCCCAGTTCCAGTTCCAATGCACCCAGGCCCAGGTACCTCATTCCAAAACTAATGCATGGATAGGCTTGTCTGCATCTCTGAGAGCCCTGTCCTTGCACTGATGGACTTGTGAGCCCTGGGGAGATGTCCTCTCCTCACTCCAAATGATGAGCAGCTTACTGAATCACACACAGTGGTTGGACAAGAATCCATGACAATGAAGGTTGGGCCTGGTTTATTAAATCCTGTTCCTGGGGGTGCTCTGGCTACAAGCTCTGTATGCCTATAGTGCCTGTGGGTCCCATCACAGCAGCACCCCAAGTCAGGACCAAACTCCAGGGCAGTGGGAAAAAGAGCAGATTTGGCTGGAAGGATGCATGGCTGTAAGCTTTTCCTCTGGGCCTTCACCCAAATCCCCAAACTGGACTAGGCCTGGGCTGCTTGGCTGGGAGGGAGTCACGGGGTCCTGGGCAGTGGGAGTCCGGGTGTGTCCCACTCAGCAGGAAACGGAGCAGCACCTGTACGCGTCACACTGGGCTACCTGCCTCACACAGGTGACAGTCCAGTCCCATCCCTCACTCCCCGTGATGTCAGGGTGCCCCTTGCCTCAGCCCATGGCAGACAAACATCCTGCCCTGGCCGTACAGCCCTGACTGACCGCTTTGCAGGACAGCATTGTCCGGCACGCAGCAGTGAGAGAGGTCCCAGCTGGGAGCAGCCCCTGTGCAGCAGCAGAGCCCCAGCACTGCCCATAGCTTGGAGCCTCCCTGGGGGACAGGACCTACTGGGAGGATGGCCAGGACAGGGGATGTCTGGGCGGTGGGGAGCCTGTGGTCAGCGGTAATAGTGGGGGTCAGCTCTCCAGCACTCTGAGAACTTCTGCAGGACTCGCTTCTTCAGGTGGATCCTCCTGGAAAGCTGAAGTGACTGGCTCATCTCATGGGCCTTCAGCTTGGCATAGTAGTCAGAAAATTTGTTGTAGAGGATGGAAATGGGCATTCCATTGAGGATGATGCCGAAGGAGATGCAGAAAAATGCCACCATCCTGCCGAGTATTGTGTCAGGCACAGTGTCTCCGTAGCCCACAGTGGAGAGGCTGACCTGTGCAGGGACAGAAAAGGATAAAATCCCATGGGAAGAAGCCCAGCAGACCTCACCAGCCGGTGCAGGAACTCACTCCCTCCCGCCCCTCTGTGGAGCCGCCTGCTCCCTGTGACCAGTGCCAGACCCTGACCCCGATGGCTGCCAGCTGAGCTGTCCCCTCTCCAGAACTTGCACAGCCCGGGCTCCACTGCCCAGGCTGCGCCCAGCAGGCCTGGACTGACGAAGGAAAGGGCTGGCTGAACCCAGGAAACACAGATCAGAGGCCAGACTCTGCTCCCTCACTGCTTTTGTGTGTGTCTCTTCAAAGGCAGCTTGATACCCCTGAGCTGAGCCTTCCCCAGCAGTCAGCATCTGCAGGAGCTTCCTCCCCCCTCAGAGCCGTGGCTCCAGAGCTTCCTGGCTGTGAGCTGCCTGGCCCCAGACAAACAAAGCTTCCTGGAGCCTCCCTCCAGGGGAAACAGAAGCATTGCCTGGGAATGAACCATGTTTAGTAAATGCGGAGCAGGGCTATGGTGAGATCTGAGGCCAGAGAGTTTTGGGCTTGGCAGCGAGCTGTGCTCCCAGGGAAAGGCTCAGCCTAGGATGTTGAAATGCTTGAACCTGGTGATGTTGCTAAGTGATTTTACCCTTCCTTGAGAAGGGATGAATTTGAAGCAGATAACCTTCAGTGGCGAAAGGGGATTATAAAAGCAGAAGTGATCTGTGGGATCATTTAATCTGTAAATCAAAATGTCCTCATAACCTGTGGCTCTCAAGTGCTTTAGCTGCTCCCCATCTCGGAGGTAATGCCAGGTTTACTATAGTGCTCAGCTCTGCAGAGCTGCCGGCTCCTGGCACAAGCAGGGCAGCAAACGGGCAGCACAGCCCAGTCTGTGTCCACTCTCATGACACGGGCTGAGGCACAGTGTGACTGTGGGTGCCACATGCAGCCACAGTCACACTGTGGCTATGGGTTCCCCATCTCAGACCCACAAGCTCTTGTGCCCCTCAAGCTCAGCAGGGCTGCATTGCTGTCCAGGCCTTAGGCTGTCCCCATACCCACAGGCTGCAGCCACCCAGCACGTGGGTCCCATGACAGATAAAGCTGACTCACATCCCCCTTGTTCAACTCAGGCCTGGAGGCTCCCAAGCCACCACCTCTGTCCCCCCATCCCACCCCAGCATCAGCTTTTGAGCCTCTGAGCTCAGTCCAAACCTCTGACTTCTTTTCTCAGAGCACACAGGGCACTCCCACCACTACTGAGCTGGTGGGAAGGCTGGGCCCTTTCTGCCTCCTGCCCAGCAGCAGTGGTGAATGCCCTGAGCACTGGGGCAGCCCCTACCCAAGGAGCCTCCCCCACTCCCCTCCGCAAGATGCTGCTCACACCTTACCGCTGCCCACCACCACGCGCAGGGGATACTGGTGAAGTCAGTGCCAGGGACATCGTGTTCCACCGAGTGTATGAGAGCAGAGAAGGTGAAGACCCCCATGGCAATGAAGAGGAGAAGGCAGCAAACCTGCTGATAGCACTGGCGCATGGTGAAGCTGAAGGCCCGGAGGCCAGTGGAGTGACGTGCCAGCTTGAGGATGCGGAAGATCCTCATGAGCTTGATGAGCTTGAGGACTTTGCCCAGCTTGCTCACATTCTCCACCTTGTGCAGCTCCTCATGGTATTGCATGTCTCCATCATCCAGATTTTCAAAGAGGATCTGGATGTAAAAAGGCAGGATGGCCACCAGGTCTATAGCATTAAACGCTGCTCGCAGAAAGTTCTTGAAGCTGGAGGAGGATATGAGCCTCATGAGGTATTCACAGGTGAAGAAGATGGCACAGATCATCTCCATCTGCTCCATCCACATTTTCCCTGTCTTGTTTTTCATCTCCTCCACTGTGCTCAGTGTCATGCCCACAATGGAGATAAGCACAAAGAAGCTCGACATGACAGCAATGATCTTGGCCGGGACAGAAGAGTACGGGTTCTCAATGAGGTTCCAGACCATCTTCCGAAATCGACCCAGAAACTTGCCTTCAAACTGTGTCTCTGACGCCAGGGGCTCCAGTTCTGCCTCCAGCTCCTTCTCTATTTTCAGGTACTCACTGAGTTCATCTCGCTTTTCCTCTAACAGGATCCGGCAGCAGCGTTGGGAGTATTTCAAATGGATTCCCCAGTACTCAATTTCCTCCACAAAATTACTGGGGCACATCTCGTCCATCACCCACAGGACCCCACTGCGGTAGAAGTGGAAGATGTAGTGGAAAATTGAAGGATCTCTGTCAAAGAAATACTCATTCTTCTGCACCAAGTAGTCATCACAGAGCTGCAGCTTCTTCATGGGGTCTGTATAGAGCGCCAGCTTCCCAAGCCGGGTGATGGGATACTGGGCCAGTACCTTGTAAGCTATCTGGAACAATTTGCCACCCACATTAATGTTGAGCAGATACTTGTTCCTTTGGATGGGAGTCTGGCTCTTCTCCTGGTTACCATCTGCCACGTTCTGCATGGAGTTCCATTGCCTTATCAGGCTATCCTGTGCAAATGGGATGTAGGATTCCTCCTCCTCCGGGGTCCGGCAGCGGCCCCGGTGATCCCCTATCTTCAGGCTGGCCGAGAGACTCGCGCGCCTGGTCCACTGCTGCCTCATGGTGCCCAGCCTTCCAAAGTGGTGACTCCTGTTGTGGGCCACAGGACAGCAGCTCTGGCTTCATGGGAATGCTCCCACTGGCCACATGCTGACTGGGACGAATGCTGCAAGCTTGGGGCAGCGGAGTGGCCGCCCGAGGGGCACAGCAGTGTCCCAGTGCCACGTGGCACCTGCCGGGGTCCCAAAGCCGATTGCTGATCAGATTGAGGTTTGCATCGTAGCAGTCGGAGGCGGCCAAGTGCCCGCTCCTTAAGACACTAATGAGATTAAGGCACTAGTCCTTTATGTAAGGAACTATTTCTAGCTCTGCACTTCTCTTTTGCCTTATTCTGTTCTTATTAGCTGTTTGCATTTGCTGGATGCTCTTTCCTGGAAGGACATCCATAACAGCAAACTGGAAAGAGCACAAACTTGCCTCAATTTACCCTCTGTTGATGGGACAGGAAGGTGCAGACATGCAGGATTTGTACTGGCTTTGTATCCCCACACCAGATGCTGCTCTTGGCACCAGCCCTTCATTAAAGGCTAATACAGCTGCCCCGGCTGTCAGCTGTCACAGCCAGGGAAGGGAGATGGTCATGACCTCTCAGCTCATCCCTCAAGTCCCACAGTGCAGATTTAGAGGGGATGAGGTGAAGGCATCACCTCCACCTCCACAGTGTCTGAGAAGATCCTCTGAGGGACAAGCTGCCCCTGTGCCCCTGCCCTGTGCTGTCACATCAGCCTTCAGCCCCATGACGCAGCCAGGCAGGGACAGGAACAGGGAACAGGACACTGGAAATGCAAGTAGGCAGTAAAAGTTCCTCTGAAGTATTGGAACTGAAAAGAAGAAAATAATCCTTTGAATCTGGAAGTAAAAGGGGAACCAAAATTAAACAGGCTGATCTTTGACATCTTATCCTGGAACATGATCCTACTTCGACATGTAAAACGTCACATTGATCTCCATGAACTGGTCTAATTAAATACAGAGACATAGAGCACAAAGATGATCCTGGCCTGAAAAGCAGCTCAGGCTCCACTACAATTGAAGTCTCTGAGCCTGGGGATTAGAACAACAGCACTGGACAGAGGAAGGGAAATTGCTGTCAGCAACACAGCCCCGAGTTTCGGCACAAGATCCATAAAATGTGTTTCTTTCAATCCTGAAGCACTCAGCTCAGGGAGCACAAAGCAAAACCTGCAATGTCTTGTGAGTTTGCCTCAGGGCCTCACTCCCCACTGCACGGGGGAAGCACTCTGCCTTTTACCACAGAAGAGCCGGGCTCAGCTTGGCAGGTGCAGCTCAGAGCATGATCTGGGACCGGCTGCTGACAGCTGACCTCGGCCACATGGCCCTGCCAGCACCAGTGCTTCAAC